AATGTAAGTTTTCAATATTACAATTTTGAAAGTCACTTTTTAAAAAGAAAAAAAGAGGGTAATTTAGATTTAAAATTTTTTTGGTGGTTACAAGGTCATTCAAATTGAACCACCTTGTATGAAGTTACGGTAGAGAAAATAATAGATAAAATATAAACTTTTGCTGAAAAAAAAATGGAAATTTATTTAGGAGGTTCTAGAGATAATGCAAATAAAATTTGAGATTTTTGAGAAAAAGAAAAGTATTTTTAACCTCAACATGAAAATCACTTAGCACTCACACTAGTATACAGAAATACTATATATATAAAGTGTATAAAAGTTATAGTATTGAAACTATAACAAGTACAAAATGTTTACTGAAGTGTTAATTTTAGAACTGGCATGAACTTCCGAATTTTAGCAATAAGAAGAGCATGACATTAACTCCCTCACTACAAGGTCAATCAAATTAACCAACCTGATAAACACTTTGTACTCATTATAGTTTAAATACTATAACTTTTAATATAGTAACTGCATGTTCACAAAACTTGGTAGACTTTTAGTAAACATTAAAAGTCTTTTGTACACAAAAAAACTGATTTTTAATGAAGAATTTTTACTAGAGATTTGACCGTGAATATATGTGCTTTTTTTATATTCTGATTGCAAAGTAGTTTCCACATTAACATTAAAAATACTTTTCTTCATCTTAAAAATATCAAATTTCATTTTTGTAATCTATAAAACCTCCTAAGTAAATTTAAAACATTTTTTCAGTAAAACATTATACCTCAGGAAAAATGTTATAATACTATTATTATTTATTATACCTAACCTTAACTAAACTAAAAAGTTTCCTATTTTTACATTTAAGTTACTTTAATAATAACAAGTAAAGAATACAAACAAAAAACAAGAAATAAAGTACTTACCTGGGTCTTTTATTTTTCCTGTGGACTGTTGATGACACTTAACCCTACTTTTTTTTTATACTAATGGTAGTACTGCACTAAATATTTTTTATTTAAATAATGCAGTAAAGAACACAGAATAATAACATGCAAAAAGCAGACAATGTCCTATAGCTATCATCATTTTTCTGGCTTTCTAACTATGTGACAAGAGCCATTACAAATTCATCTAAACTAACGTAGTCTATGTGCTTCCTGAGTGAATAAAGCTTGTACTGAAAGTGAAATTGACAATTCTCTTACCGAAAACAACATAATATAATACGTCATTTGATAGATGAAAACCTTGACTTTCTGTTGGTTATAAATAGTATGGAATTGAACATCAAAGAGAATTACTAGCAATTTCTGAAAGAGAGAATGTTGCTGGTGGGCATGGCAAAAGGGTTCTGATTTTGTAGTTGATGGCTTTGTAACCAAACAAGATTGAAGGCTCTGAAAATTATGCTTTGCCTGAGCAATGACGACATTATGATGACTAATTTATGTTACATTTTGTACTTCTTGGAGGAGTGGTAAATAAATTAGAGAAGAAGGGATGCCTAGAGGGAAAATGTCAATTCTCACACTAGGTGAATTCAGGATTTTTTTTTAATATTGACTTATAAAATAAGAACTTAAACTTATATACTATTAAAATGTGGATTATTAGCTACTTTTTATGTTATATTTATTGGTATACCCTGAAAAGAAAGTAGTTTAATTAAATTTTTAATGTAACTCACTAAAAACCTCATGATGCAAAAAAAGATGTCTGTACACAAGAAACTTTGAATTGTGGTGGAAAAAGAGAGCCTAGTTCTCTTAACATATGCTATGAATTAAATGAAGAACATTCAGAAATTTGAGTCACATGGTTGTTCACAGCAACTCAACAAGGAAAGACTAAGCATTCCAGAGGTATGTCTACTTCATTTAAAGTTCACCATCCATATGAACAGAATATGTAGCTCTACTCTGAACAGATTACAAAAAAGAAAATGTTAGTGCTTTTAGAAAATACAGATTGATGGCTATGTTTCATATCAAGACAAGTTGAAATAATTTTGCACTCGAACAGAAAAAACTGTTTGTGAAGAAAAAAAATTTAAATCAGAAATATAGGTCTGGATTTTGATTGTTATCACTTCACACAAAATAAATTAAATAAAAATTTATATCAAAATAAAATCTTAAACTTTAAACTTGTATGTTTTAGTGGTATTTTTAGTTTGTGAATAGTTTGATAGGGATAGTTTGGGAAAGAAATTTGGAAAACTGATAATCTCACGTGTTCAAGTACATGAAAAAGCAAGCCTGATAAGGTTAATGAATCTTTATTACCAACTTAAGCAAATGTTGCTTCATGTAACATTCCTATGTTTTTATGACTAAATTCTAAAAAAAATTAAATCTACAATTTTAGTGATCAATCTTTATTAATCGCATGTAAGGAGCTTACCAAAATCAAATGCCCATAAATCATCTAATGATCCCTTTAAATCTTGGTAGCCACCATAGATATACATCATACAGTTGTACTTCAAAGAAGTATGTCCACGCCGTCCTGATGGCTGGCCAAAAGCTGCTGTTTTTGAGTGTTTCTTTTCCCATAAGTTTGTTTCTAAAATAATAAAATAAAATGTAATAATAATTATCTATTAAAATTACCAAGTTCAAAACAACAAAGTATTAAAAGTTCAGGAACTTGTCATTTCAAAAAATCAAGAAATCTAAAAATGAATATCAAATGTTATCCTTTTACAAAAAAAAAAAAAAAAACAACACAGAAAAACTTGATATTTCAAACAAAACTTTAGAGCAGTGCAATTAACTTAATTAGTCAATTAGTGTCACATAAGATAATTGATAATTCAAGATTACAATTAAATCAATCAATATCAGGAAAATAATAAACTAAATGAAATAAGTGTTTCTGATTATTACTGATATTTATTATTCCAACTGTCCAATTAATTGAAATATTGCCATTATGTTTTTTCATTATTATCCTTAGTTAATCAAAGGTTGTTCAGCTTAATTGATTTGTGACGACTCACAAAAAAAATCAGCTAATCAATATTACTGTTTCCAACTGTCACTATTTTCCATTACTCCAATAATCAGTCTTGTGTAAGATAACCAATAAGTTAAATATAATTGAATAATCAGCCCGATTGTATTAAAGTGAACCTAACAAGCACCAATCTAAAAAAACATAAATAAAAATAAAAAAGGCCTACTACTAGGTTATGAACCTATGTTGTTGTTTTTTTAACAATACAAAGAACCTCCATGATCATGAGCTAGGAAACTACTGACCAAAACATTTATATTGAAATCATCATGCACAAATTAATTTTTAGGTTATCAGTTGCACGTATATTCAAATATATGTAGCTTAGAGCAGATGCATATAACTAAACCCTTCCAACCATAAAATACTTCATGTAAACACTATGCAAACCTTTCAACTAGTGCACACTGAATGCCCTTCCAAATATTTTTTAATAGAATATTTCAGTGCAAAATTAAACAAATAAATGGAAAATAAAGCAAACTAGACCCTTGTTAACTGAATTGTAAAATATTGAACAAGCAAATCTTAGTAGTACAATGGGATCCATTAACCCTTCCATTATGGGCTAGGTGGAATCCACCCAGCTAGTAACCAGGAGAGTAATTGTACTATAATTTTTGAAAATGTATGCAAGTCTTTACAAAATTTTGCAAATTATTAGTAAACATTACAAGGATTTCATACATAAAATATTTGGTTTTGGAATTATGTTCTATGATTTTTTTATTAAAGATTTGTTTGTGAAATTTTTCTTTCAGAATGTTGACTATCCAACATACAAAGTAATTTTGATTTTAAGATTAGAAATACTTTTCTTTATCTGAAATTTGTCAAGTTTCATTTGCATAATCTCTATATCCTTCTAGATAATCAGCAAATGTTTTTTTAAATAAAACTTTATATTTAATCTGTTATGTTATCAATAATAACTGTATATGGTGTTGATCAATTTGACCGACCTCGTAACCATTATAAAAATTAGGAAATAAATCTAAATTACCTTTTTTGTTCAAGAATAACTGCAAATTATAATAGGATACCACAAATGTTTAATCTAAATAGCTTAAATCTCTTAACAGTATAAATCTATATATATTTTTAAATTTTCGTTTTATTGACCTCTGAACCGTGTCTGACTAAAAATACTCCGACAGAAGTGGAAAATTACATGGCACATGTGCATTGACATGTCCCTATCGAACAGCATAACATAGAAGCCAATATATAAGCCAGTATAACTCAATAAAGGTTTTTTATTTTTCTTTCATTATCTTACCTAACAACTTTCTATTTTTATGATTTTAGTTACTTTTATAATAATAAACAGT